ACTACAAATGTCAAATAGGAAGACCGAAGTCAATTACATAACAACATACACTACAAACGTAAAATAGAAACATAAACCCTAAATCTAATCCTCATCCTCCTCGGACGCCGTCTCCTCGTCATCCTCATCTGACACATCAGCCCCCTGCCCTGCAACATCCTCAATGTGCTGTCCTCGTCCAAGCTCTAGACGAGCAAGCCTATCTTCAACACCCTTGAACCGTCCCTGTATATGTCTAAATCTTTCATTTCCCTTCTGCACGTGACTCTTCCTCCATTTTTTGTGTTTCAGCGCCATTTTTCCTATTTTCTTCAGCGTGGCGTTTATGCCCTTCATGACATCACGTAATGAAAACCCACCCTCAGCCTCAGCTATCTCCTGCTGGTCACCCTTATCATCATCCTCCACCTCGGGCTCAACCGTGTCTACAACTGGAGCAACATCAGGAACCTCAACATCAGCGGCACCTGTGAACTGCCACACTCTTGTTTGGGGGTTCTTTGTCATCTTGCACTGCTCCAGTAGACGTTTTCCAAACTTATGATTATACCCTGTGGTCTTCTTCAAGGTCACATTACCCATGGGAACATCAAAATGCTCCAATATCCTCTGAACAAGACAAGCAAATGGAAGTGCACCCTTGTGTCTGGCCTTATACATCATCCAACAGATGTAGTGCCTCCAGTTCACCGAAGTACCATGTCGGATAGCCCACATGATGGGAATGTCATGCTCCAACACCCTGGAATGATTGAACGCTCGCGGAAACAGAATGTGGGTGATGACATAGTGTAGTATGCGGGACTCCACAGTAAGCAACCCCACCGTATAGGCAATGTGTTGCCCACAGACTTTCCTCTGCTCCTGCACGGCATCACCGCGTGTATATCCTGGAAGTATGGTCCCGTGAATATCTTGGAAGTGTTACGCTGCTATTTGCGTCATATTCCACAGTCTGCGCAGAATCAAAGTCATACCCCAGTAACTCCAACCATACCGGAGCCGTCATGATGATGTCCTCCCCGCAGACCCTAGACCTCAGCTCACCCTAATGGTAGCTGAGGTTATGGTAGAAGGCCCGTACATGCAGCTCAGAATATGAACACGACAGTTCAGCCAAGATCCTAAGATGTGATTCCTCCAACCACCTCACAATGTTAAAACCTTCTTGTTCAAAAGAGGCTGTATCAAGTGATTTGGCCCCACAAATCGGTCGGTTAACAAAGTCACAGACAAAAGATTCATGAACCACCGGGTCATTCTCGAACAAGTATCCGAATGGGAGGTCGACAGCAGCGGGGTCTTCCTCTTGTTGCCTTGACGAAGACGGACGGTCTTGTCGTAGCTTCTGTCGTCTCTCATTTCCAGTGCTAGACGATCTTCTACGGCCAGCCATGGGAACAACTGTACCTACAATGCAAGTGGAAACAAAAATCAATGAACAATAACAATATCAAAAAATTTAAAATTCAATATAAAAAACAAAACCTAATCCTAAAATAAAACAGAAATCAGAAACCCTATCCCTAACCCTAAAACAGAAACAAAAATCCTAACCCTAAACCCTAACCCTAAAACAGAACACAAAAACCCATTCCTAAACCCTAAACACTACAACCCAAACAAAACAGCAACATAAACCCTAACCCTAACCCTAACATAACCCTAGCCCTAAGCCTAAGGCACCACATCAACCCTAACCCTCACCCTCACAACAAACTTAGCACCCTACCCCTAACCTAAATCCACAAAACCGCAAACAGAAATCAAATGCATGGAGAAAACAAAAAAAAAACTAAACTTAAAACCAAATGCAAGTCAGAATACGTTACCTAAATGTCGATTTCGCAAGTGTGAACCAAGGAAGCTTCAATCGCACCTTCAAGGGTTGAGATTCGGACTTGGTTGGAGAGAGGGGACGGAATGGAGCGATTTAGTCGATTAGGGTTTGAAAATAACCCCCTTTGCGAAATGGGGTTTTTTTTTTTAAAAACCTGATCTGCGACATTTAGTCGACTAAATAATGTTCTTAGTCGATTAAAAGTGCAAACAATTTAGTCGATTAAGGTGAGTTTTTAGTCGACTAAAATTCGCGTTTCATAATTTCTGAGTTTAGCTCATTTAGTCGATTAAAAGTGCAACTTAATCGACTAAATGAGGGCAGGATGATGGATAGTTCTGGGGAGGGACAAATTGGTTATTAATTATTTAATTAGGGGCAAAAGGGTCAAAAAGCCAGAGAAATAGTATAGAAATTGTACATATTGTAAAAGCAATATAATTTTCAAATAGTGTTGGAATACAAATTATATAAAGTAAGAAAAGTAAAGTATGATTTTAAAATAGAAAGAATGCCAAATGTATTCATATCTGACATCATGAAAGGTTAGAATAGTTTCCCTCTCTAATCATCAAATTGTTAGTTTAAAATTTTTTGTTTGAAATTTTAGATGTTAATAAGCATGTTTAAGCAATAACAAACCAGAATCATATTGACTAATTAAATTTATAAAATTATGATATTTTGATTACAGCTGTATGCAAATCTCATCTTATAAAATGTTAAACATATACATTAATTTATATTCACATAGTTTTTATTATTTAATTATATCTGATCACATCTTACTTTTTAACCTCCAATAATTTAATTGTACCACTTTGTCTGAATGTGATAAAATTTAATCATCAAACGCGCCGCAAGCATATATGTTCCTATAAATCCTAAAAAGGAACAATTATTTTGTCATTACTCATTCTTATTTTTATTTTATGTCTGTCAGCTGTTGCTATCTTTTGATTCATTAATGGTGTTATTTTTATTTTAATGTAGGAAAGTCCCAATAAAAAATTAAATAGATCATAATCAAAGGGAAAGTTATTCCTGTTTGGTTAGGTCAACTTGAAATTAACCGTTAAAAAAAATAAAAATTAATTATTATTGATTTCAAATTAATTCAATAGTAATCAAATAAATAAGTAGTAAGAATAGTAAAATTAAAATAATAATAAATATAACCTTCCATAATCAAATCTTGAAAATTTGAACCACTGGACAATTAAGATTTAACGTTGTTAAGAGTTTATTGCATTCTTGTGTTTTATTGTTTTATAATTTATTCTTAAAATGTTTTAAATGTTGTTAAGGATGAGTTTTTTTTGGAAAAAAAATGAATTAATATAAATACATATGATTTATTGCCATTATTGTAATGTTATAAATTTTATAAATAAAATGAAATAAAAAATAAATAAAAATGACTAACTATCTGAAAAAAATACAATCATGACAAGTTTACAACATAGTAAAAATTGTAAAATGATCCATTTTAATTTGGTATATTAGGATTATATTTACTTGACAATGGTTTAATTGTTATTATATTTTATCTTTAAGAATAACGTGTGTCATTCTTCTTTATATCATTGTTATCTTTTTTTTTCTTTCAAATTTTAGCTTCAAATTATAATAATTTTTTTTTTCATTTTTAAATATATTACATCTTTTAATTTTGATTTTAAAAAGTCTCAGGTTATTGATACTTTACTTAATTATTCATTTATTCGGAACAATTCATTTATTTAACAAAATTGTAAAATGTGGTTTAAAAATTGGCATAAGAAAGATATTTGGCTAAGGACAAACAAAACAGGTTGAGTAGGATTCGATCGTGTGATTAAGCAATCTAATATATCGAAGATTTGAAAACACCTTAATTTATAAGAGAAAGTAATGTACAACTTAATAGAGAGATAAGCCTCCAAGGTCATCCTCAGTCAATTTTATATTAAACTTTGGAATTTAAAGGCTTAAACTAATTCTGAAATATTGTTGTATCATGTATTCTTTATCATGAATAAATAAAACATAAGGTGATTACCAAAAAATAAATAAAACATAAGGTGTTGTACCGAAAAAAATAAAATAAAACATAAGGTGTAAATAGTATTCTGACCTTTGCATTTGGTCTGATTTTGCCTTGCATTGTAAAATAAAAAGACTTTGATATTATAAAGAAGTTTATTTCAAAAACACGTCACACCCTATTTTTAGAGGATCTTACCTAGAAGGCTATAATTTATTATTTCATTCTAAATAAACTAAAACAATTTTTTGAACACTTTAAATAATAAAATAATATTATTTTATTTTTTTAAAATTCCTAATATATTTAAAAGATTTGAAAAATTTAAATAAGCGAATAAATTAGACGAGACTTATAATATATTAAAAATAAGTCAAGTTAAATTTATAATTTAGCCTATAAAAATTTAATAAGTCAAATTAATATTTTACGTAGATATGATTTATTTAAATTTAAACCTAACTTAACTTCACCTATTTACACTTTGAACTAAAATTTTTAATTCCCTTTATTCTTTTATATTTTTGAACATATTTTTATTGTTATAGAAAATTCCAAGTTAATTATACTAAATAATTTAAGCCCAATTTTTATTAATAGAACCAATATCGAATTTTTCCTAAAAATATTTTTAAAAAAATGGGTTACTAACTAACCTTTAAACTGGCCTACATAAGTTCGTTTTATAAATGCAAAAATACATTTTTGGATACCAAAAGACCTTTAAATACAGTTCAATCCTCCACATTCTCAAGTCCCACACACCATTGATGCCAATTTCTCTGTCTCTCTCTCTCAATCATTCTCTGCTCCTTTTCACTCTTCTGGGGTCAGGGCCAATCATCGACACGCTCTTGCTATTGCTCCCTTCTCTCCTTCTCACAAAAGATTCCTCTTTTGTTCCAATCACAAACAGTGCATGAACACAAACAGTGTGCCTTCTTTTCTTCACTCTTTTGATTTTAAGCGGTTCCTCTTCATTTCGTTCCGTACCCATTTGGTTTTAGGTGCCCAAGGACCAAGTTGTTTGTTGTGTCTCACGAGCCTCTTTCTCTCTCTATTCCCTTTAAGCTTTAGGGTTTTCTGACTTTGCACCTTCTTTTCAGGTATTTCTTGGGTTTTCTTTTGATTCACTGTTTCTCGATTTTCAAATGCCAAATTTTGAGTCTTTGGAACACTTTTTTTTCTGGGGTTGATCGAATTGATCACCACCATAGTTTTTGAGTTGAATTTGCTTTAACTTAATGTAGCGGTTATTGTGATTGAGGGATTTCTGTTATGGTTACTCTGAAGTCTAATATTGCTGAAATTGCTTCAATTTATGGTTTTGGGTTGAAGGGTTGTTGCACCATTTGGTCATGTGAAACGGGGTTGGTTTTGTTTTGTGGTTAAGGTCACTTGCTTTATTCACTGGTAATCATTGATGTTTTATGGATTTTGCGTATCAGTAATGTTATCACCACAAGGGCCCTTTTAATTTGATTTCTTCTGCCAAAGTCACTTTCATTGTTCTTCGATGGATGAATTAAATTGAAGCAGCATCTTGTTTGGATGGTGTGAAATTGTGGGGAAGTTGGTGTCTTTTTTCTTTTTCTGTTTGTCGACTATGTATCTGTGGAGTTATTCTTTATCATGTTGTCTTGGATGATAAAGATTTATTTTTTTCTGGGGACTATCTATCTGGGTATGCTGGAAATGGACGATCACTTGTGTCACTGATTTGAATCTGGTGAAGGGGACAGTAACCTGTGCTAAGAACTGGCTTCTGCACATGGGGTTTGCTCTATAGTCCATTCTTCTAATTGGGTTTGATATTCACTTTTTTTTCTTCACTGCAGCAGGGACCCTGTCCTGCCTGCTGTCTCTTGCATTGGATTTTTTTTTCCTTTACTTTTTCAAGTTTTGTCATTGGTTTCAAGTTCAAGCAGAACGTTGCTTTTGTTACTAGCAACCCAGTTGAATCAGATGGTTTAGGACATCCAAATTGGTGTAATTGGACTTTCTTGACTAGCTAAAATGAAAACGAGATTGTGAAGGGTTCTAATGGAGATTGAGAAATTAGAGATAATAACAAGGATCCTTCTCAACATTCTCGACGAGATTAATGACAGCATCTCTGTATATATCCCTGCTTCCTTTGCAGTTAGACTGGAGCCTGCCATGCTGACTATGCACAAATCCGAGACGGTGATAATATTGCTCCTACATATTTGAAGTTGGGCTTATATTTCCATCTACCATCTCAACAAAAAACTTAGCTACCTGCATATTAACTGCTGCTGAATTTGGGTGGAGAGTCAGGAATGTTGTGTGGTTGGATATGTTAGCTTGTACTCTTTGATTGTACAGGTGGGGAATTTAGATTGAATTTGGTGTCCAGGTGCCAGTTCCCCATTTTTGGAGTTAAACTGGATGTTCATGCAGACATTTATACATATTATGCTTTTGGGGAACCTTTGGGGCAGGGGCAGGGGCAGGGGTGGGTTTGTTAGGTTTAGAGTTCAACATATATCTGCATTGGTTCCCCTTCTTTGTTCAGAGGAAAAAAAATCCAAAAAGCATATAAGAAATGGAATTCTGCCGCTACTAGTGTAACTGGTTATTGCAGATTTTACTAAAAGCTCACTATTCTTGTAGATGTAGATTTTTCTTAATTATTCTCATTTCTGGTGCAATTAGCAGTTTTCTAAGTTTTGTGATGGTTGATATCTCTCTTGCAAAGATTTAAGATTTATCTGCCTGTAGCAAGACTCAATATCTTACTGTTTTGTGAATGATGCAGAAGGGTGATGCAATGAAGCAGTCTCTTGATCCTTCATCCTGGGGTAATTCTCAATTATTTTATTTTTCTTTTGTTATCATAATGATTTACCACATTGAATTAAATATATTCTTTTTTTGTTACTAATAGGTCCTTCCAAGATTCCATCTATAAATATACCTAGAAAATCGGGGCACAGTGCTTGGGAGGTTTTATCTGGATCTGATTCCTTCCATGCTTCATCTGATGCTAGCCTCTTTTCTAGCTCATTACCTGTTCTTCTGCATGAAAATTGTACGTGATAATTATTTCCTGACAGGGCTGTCATTTGTAAAAAAGGGGGCGAACCGGAGCAGTGGTAAAACTGTTCCTTTAGGACTGAAAGGTCATGGGTTCGAATCCAGGAAACAGCCTCTTTGCAATTATGCAAGGGTAAGGCTGTGTACACGGATTTCCTCCACCTCACGCTTGGTCGGGTTTATCGGGGAGTGGTTTTTTAATGCTGTCATTTGTATACTTCCTTTTTGTTATGAAATCTATTGATCTTGTTTTGCTAACCTGCAGTGAACTTAAATGACGCTAAAAATGTTTATCAATCTGTTGATGACATCTCATCTGGCTTTGAAAAGCTCCATCAAGATGTAGAGGGCAATAATCCACTTGAAGATAGTGATGCTCATGCAATTGGAACCATGCTTCCTGATGATGAGGAGGAGCTTTTAGCTGGCATAATGGATGATTTTGACCTAAGTGGTTTACCCGGTTCCCTTGAGGACTTGGAATTGGAAGAGTATGATCTTTTTGGTAGCGGTGGAGGTATGGAACTAGAAACTGATCCCCAGGAAAGTCTCAATGTTGGTATGTCTAAGTTAAACTTCTCTGATGGTACTGTTGGCAATGATTTACCCCATTATTCTTTTCCTAATGGTGCGGGAACTGTTGCTGGAGAACATCCATATGGTGAGCATCCTTCTCGAACATTATTTGTTCGAAATATTAACAGTAATGTGGAGGATTCAGAACTGAGATCTCTTTTTGAGGTGAGTTTAAGTTAGGTTGAGCTCAATTTTGAAGTTTGTATAAACTTTTTCTTTGATATTTTATCATTCTACTCATGCTTCATGAATATAACTGATGGTGCCCATAATTCTTCATTGCGTCTAGTGGATATTAGCATATCTTCGTTGAAAAGAAATTCATGTGAAACATGATAAATTATTAATCGTGTTTTCATTTTTTTTTATTTCCAGCAACATGGTGATATTAGAACGCTATATACTGCATGTAAACATCGGGGGTTTGTAATGATATCCTATTATGACATCCGCGCTGCTCGATCAGCTATGCGTGCATTGCAAAACAAACCTCTGCGGCGCAGGAAACTTGACATTCACTTTTCAATACCAAAGGTTATTTTAAACGAACTTAAAAGTTGTTGTGATTTATTCTTTTATTAATTGACTGCCCTGACGCTCTTATATCTTGCTTTCTTTTCTTCCACATCCCAGGATAATCCATCAGACAAGGATGTCAACCAAGGAACCTTGGTAGTTTTCAATTTGGATCCATCTGTTTCAAATGAAGACCTCCGTCAAATATTTGGGGCTTATGGAGAGGTCAAAGAGGTGATAATTTTGTCCCTTTTTTACTGTTTTGCATCCCTGTCGTGTGTGTGTGTGTTTCTCTCTCTCTCTCTCTCTCTATATATATATATATATATTAAAAACTTAAGATTAATTATCAATGTCTCTACAGATAAGGGAAACTCCTCACAAGAGGCATCATAAATTTATTGAATTTTATGATGTCAGAGCTGCAGAAGCAGCACTTAAATCATTAAACAGGAGTGACATAGCTGGTAAACGCATAAAGCTTGAACCTAGTCGGCCTGGAGGAGCTCGTCGAAAGTTCGTACACTAATAACTTCACTATTGCTTTTGTTTTTATTTTCTCTATTTATGATAATAATCTGTTCTGCTTACTGATTTTTGTGCATCGTGTTAATATAAGAAAAAACTGATGAGACATCTAAGATCTTTCCACTGTTGAATAGGGTAGCACAAATGATATGGTTGGGCTTATCTCTGCCTGGTACCTATTGAGACTACTTAAAAACTGTCAAAAGTCAAAACTATTTGAAATTTATTATTATTGTCATTGAATCCATGTGAACTTGAGTTTTACCGAATGAGCCATAAAATTATCGTGTTACGTGAGAGAAGAGAAACTCATTTAGATTATTAGTGAGGGTAGGAAAATTATCATCACTAACTGTTGCGGATGTAGATTCCATATATCTTTTGCCTTTCTTTTCTGGCATCATAGGTTGATGCATAAACATGTAATTGATTATACCTTGCACTTTTTAGTTTGATGCTCCAACTAAATCAAGAGCTTGACCAAGATGAATCTCGGAGTTTCCGATATCAAGTGGGTTCACCTGTAGCCAACTCTCCGCCAGGTTGGTTTTTTGAGATGCTATATAGCCTTTATGTCATTGGCATCTTGAAGCAGCATAGTTTTTAGTTAAAGACTTAATATTCATGTTCACCTTGCACTGTTTTCTCTTTGATGAAATTAAGTTAATAAAACCTTCATAACAGGTAATTGGTTACAGTTCAACAGCCCTGTTGAGCAGAATTCAATGCAAACTATGAATCATTCTCCTGGTTCTAGGATCATGAGCCCAAATACAGGCAATAATTTATCAGGATTAGCTTCAATTTTGCAACCACAGGTATCAAACACCATAAAGGGCGCAACTATTGGCAAGGACTTGGGAAGGAGTAGTCATGGAGAGCACATATATACCAATATGAATTCATCACACGGAGTTTCTTTTCAGTCGCATTCACTTCCAGAGCCAAAATTCAGCCAATATCGTGGAGCTTTATCCACTTTTGGTTCATCAACAGCTAATGGATCCTCAGTGGAGACCTTGTCTGGGCCACAGTTTCTATGGGGAAGTCCAAGCCTCTATGAGGAGCATACCAAGCCTTCAGCTTGGCCAAGACCAGCGGTGGGGCATCCATTTACTTCGAATGGAAAGAGCCATGCCTTTCCATACTCAAGTCAGAATAATTCCTTTGTCGGTTCATCCCAGCATCATCACCATCATCATGTTGGCTCTGCTCCATCAGGTTTACCTTTTGAAAGGCATTTTGGTTTCCTTCCTGAGTCACCTGAAACTTCATTCATGAATAATGTTGGTTATGGAGGCATGGGTTTGGGCAACAATGATGGAAATTACATGGTTAATGTGGGTGGGTCTGTTAATGCTGGCATTACTGTACCAAGAAATATGTCTGATAATGGTTCATCAAACTTCAGAATGAGGTCTTCTCCGAGGCTTAGCCCTGTTTTTTTAGGTACTGGTCCTTATCTGGGACTGCCACCTACCACCATGGAGAGCTTGACTGACCGTACTCGGAGTAGATGGATAGAGAACAATGGGAACCAAGTTGATAGCAAGAAGCAATTTCAGCTTGACCTGGATAAGATTAAAAGTGTTGAAGATACAAGGACTACATTAATGATAAAAAATATCCCTAATAAGTATGATTAACTCTAAGACTGTTTATTGACAATTTTTTATTGCTGCTTAGATGATATATTAATTGTCGATAACCTGTAGATATACCTCAAAAATGTTATTAGCTGCCATTGATGAAAATCACAGGGGTACATATGATTTTCTCTATCTGCCAATTGACTTTAAGGTATATGTTGTGTTCCTAGTATCGGGTCGTTTATTATTATTTCTCCCTTGAGTTGGTGTTTGTTCCCCAATATCTTACAGACTTTTGAAACTGATTATTACTTTACTTGTAATTGCAGAATAAATGCAATGTGGGTTATGCTTTTATCAACATGCTGTCACCCGCGCTTATTATTCCATTCTACGAGGTTTTTATGGCAATATTTTTTGGCTTGCCACTTCTTTTTTAATTTTATTTTTCCATCATTTTGCTGAATGAAAGTTGTCTTGTTTGGGTCAAGTTTTCTGAACACCCCACTCCCACCTTTTTTTATTGTTTAAAACTACTTCCCATTAAATCTCAACTAGCGAGGATAGGGGTGAGGCCCGTGAGGGTTGTATGCAGCCTTCCTGACCCTTTACTTTAAAAACCACTCCCCGTTAAACCCGATTAACGAGTGTGGGGTGAAGGTAATCCTTGTACGCAGTCTTACCCTTGCATAATTGCAAAGAGGTTGTTTCCTAACCCTTTACTTTATCTTAGTAAAATCAATTTAGCTGCTAATGATATCCTGACATTTTTAAAGAAAGGGTAATTGGAAAAGACTAATGGCTTTTTCCCCTAATTAAATGACAGATTCACTATTTGTCTGATTTTGTAGACATTCAATGGGAAGAAATGGGAGAAATTTAATAGTGAAAAAGTTGCTTCTTTGGCTTATGCTCGAATCCAAGGAAAGACTGCCCTTGTGAGCCACTTTGAAAATTCAAGCTTGATGAATGAAGATAAGCGCTGCCGCCCTATTCTGTTTCACTCAGAGGGTCCTGAAGCTGGTGATCAGGTAAAATATTTAATATTACTCTGTATTTAATTAAAACTAGTAGCTTTTTATTATCTCTCTTTTTTTTCTTTGGATTTGTTGTCTTCTTAAATGTAATGATGACTGAGGCTAGTAATTTTTTTTATTTTCTCTTTTTTACTTATAATAGTAGCCTAACTGCTGCGAGTGTGTTCATACTTTCCTGTAGATCATACAAGAGCATTTTCCTTCCAACTCCAACAATCTAAATATTCAGGCACCTAGGTCAACTGAGTTACATTCAAGTGATACTCCTGGAATCCCTTCAATGGATGGCCCTCCTATGATCTTGGATACAATTTAACATTATATCATATGCAGAATTGCCGAGCCCAACTTGGTTACTGTTAGTGTTTAACATTTGCATGTTTTGTGTCTGGTGCTGCATATATTAAGGATGGATAACAGAAGGATGTAGATTTTGTACCATAATTATTTTCCTAAGTATTTTGCCAGCAAGCTTCATAAGTTTGGAGCATTTTGATTGATTTGCTGCACAGGAAGCTGATCTGATATAATGTACACAAGGTGGGAGCAAAGGCTGTAGAGTTGAGCAAATGGAGTTTCCTTCTAGGGAGGTCTTTATCTACAGTTTTGCTCATTTTTTCGCATTTTGATGGTTTGCCATTTGAGTATTTTTTCCCCCCTTCTGAAAATGTTAATATGGCTAGAGTCTAGTTATGTTTGAGGTAGAGTTTTGGTAAGTTTACATGGGGTACAAAATTGTATAGAGAAATAAGGACTTCTTTCTATGTTCCTCTAATGTATCAATACTCTTGAAAATGATGTGTAAACCTGTATTTAAAAATGATGGTGTACAAGGGGCTCTTTATCTCAACCACGGTACAATATTGTTTTGGCAGAATCCATCTTTGACACGGAAAGCCATAGTTATTGACAGCAATAATTTGAATTGATGGAGACCCTTTATTCTTATTTCCTTTAGCCATTATTTAATTGATACACTTCGTAGTTGTATGATTTGCTATAATATGTGAGACCTAATTTGTTTCGTTTTAATGCAGCTTATTTGATAATAATAAAATAATATTTTGAATTGTGACGTGAGTTCAACTATTATATTATTTTTAATTTCCATCAATTTATATCAGGCAAGTAGATGCAAGATCAAGTTTGGATGAATGAAACACGCACAATCATAATAGTATTCTTCGATTCCATGAATGAAAAACCATTGATAGGAAGGTTGATATTCACATTCAGCGTCACAACAATTCTTAGACTAAAAGTAAGCTAAGCTTGTATTTATGTTGGGTTGTTTTAAATTTTTAAGAATCAAGCCCAACACCAAAATTTTGTATAACTTACTTTCCACCTTCCGTTAGTTAATCTCTTATCTTCAGGGAATTTGGTGCAGTGCCCTTATCTTATCACCCTGATATTACAAAAAAGAGGACCCATAAACAATGTTTAATAGTTGTAGAAATTAAAAAAAGACTAATACAAAAGTGCATGACAAAACTCACATGTTCATTTATTAAAACCATCTCAATATTGTCTCTTATCTTGGGTCAATAAAAGTTGGGCCACCTGATAACCCTTACTTTGATCCTCCATTGCTCTTTAGATGGTGACAGATCATAGATTAGATCAAATCTCGTAGCCATTTCAACCGATATCGAAACACAAAGTTTTGCCAGCGAACACATGGATGTATTTTATTTAATGAGTCAGCCATGAGTCAACAAGTTAGGCTTATGATATGAGTTGACTCATCAGATGGATGTTTCCGTTTTTCATTTAATTTTCATTATTTATTTAGCTTTTGTTTTTCATTTAGTTTCCGTCTTCATTTAGTTTACATTTTTCATTATGGGTATATACTATTATTATTTTTATTAATTTATTATTACGATTGTTATTAACCAGTTAAGTGTGAAAAGGAATATGATTCATGGGGTTTAAAGTAGACATATGGTATTTTATAGCCCAATTTGGGAAGGAAAACTTCTACTATTGTTAACTCATTTAGTTTCCAGTTCCCATTTAGTTTTCATTTTACATTTAATTTCCATTTGTCATTTAACTTCCATTTTCATTTAGTTTACGTTTTTCATTTATTATACTATTGTTATTAGGGACAAGTTATTCTACCTATTCATATTCTGCCTACCTTTGTCTATCCCTTTCAACACTGTTAGATTATAATCTCATCCAATGGTGGATATTTGCAGAATAAAATAAATATTTTTTCTTCTTTCTTTCTTCTCACTTCTTCTCACACCTTTTTTCTCTCCTCCCCTTTCTCTCTATGCTTGCGATTTATATTGTAAGAGAAAAATAAAATTATCCAATTAGGAATCGCTTTGAAAAATCATACACAGCCCATACTTGATTTTCACAAAAAGATCTTTTAGTGCGATCCTTGTAAAAATCATGGAAATTAGGATCAGGGACATCTATTTGCATGTGTTTTTTCTTTTTTTCTTTGATCGAGTATGCGTTTTTCATTTTGGAGAAAGAGATTTAGAGAAAAAGGGTGTGGGAGGAAATGAGGAGAAAAAAGAGTTTATTTTATTCCACAGATATCCACCGTCGGATGAGATTGTAATCTAATGGTGTTGAAAGGAGTAGACAAAGATAGGCAGAATAAAAATAAGTAGAATAACCTATCTCTTGTTATTAACCAGTTAAGTGTGAAAATGAATATGATTCATGGGGTTTAAAGCAATCATGTGACATCTTTTAGCCCCAACATGAGAAGGAAAACTTCTGCTAATGCTTACTCATTTAGTTTTCGTTTCTCATTTAGTTTCCTTTTTTTTATTTAACTTTCGTTTATCATTAAGCTTCCGTTTTTCATTTAGTTTCTATTTTTATTTAGTTTTTATTTTCATTTAGTTCCCGTTTTCATTTAGTTAACATTTTTCATTTATTGTTACTATTGTTATTAAACGATTAAGTATGAAAAAGAATATGAATCATGGGATAATAATAAGACATGTAGCATTTTTGTCCTGTAGTGACTTCTCTTTTCTAATTATAAAGATATTATTTTATTATTTTGAATTCTAATGTGGCTTCAACTACTATATTATTTTGAATTTTCATCAATTTAAACAGAAACAAAATAAACAAAATAATAGTAACTTACACTTTATGAAGTGTAATATGTTATTTTTTAAGGGCCAGAAGCTTGATTCACTGATCCGTCCACTTTTGCTCCAAAGGAGGTGAAGGAAAATATCATATTGTATGCTCGAATATTCCGTAAATAGTGGCGGCTGTTGATATTTGAATTATCATGCAAATTAAGCAAAGCATCAGGAAGAACTTTCAATAAAGGAAGTTTTACTTTTCCATTTACCCAGCACAAACCAAACTCTGGTGTGCTGGGTTTATGATTTTTTTTATTTCTCTCCTCGTACCACAAATGTGCTCCGCATTTCTCGCAAACAAAAGTAGGATCCCCCGCATCCCAATAATCTTAATAAATGCGAACACAGAGAAATCACGATAGATGCATAAATTAGGTTCGAAAGAAAAGTGAACAAAATTTAAATTGATGCAAATACCTTCACTGTTAGAAGTTATGTTAGGCACAATGAAATTATTCATATAAGTACCTGTAGCATAAAGAAAAAATGACACGAAGATATTAGAAATCATTTCAATACGAACATTTTGAATATTTTTTCTTGCTATAAGTAGAATTTAATTACTATAGGGAATTTCGTAATAAAAAAACCACAAAAAAATTGTGATAGTATGTCGTGCGTGCTCATATTAATATGGTTCTGTTGTAAATACATAATGAATAACGTTTTTTTTATCTCACTTTGTTTGAGGGCATGTGTTGCAGCACTACTTCCATAGGTATCACCTGGAGTAGAATATTGTATCCTTTACAACAACAGAAAATTGAAACAGTGTTAATTCAGTTATATGGTTTCACAAAAGTAGTAACAGTATACAGGTACTAATAAAAAAAATTCATTCTGATCATAACTTGTCATGGAGTCAGAATTAGATATCGTAGTAAGAGTTGAATGTATGGACACAGCATCATTAACATCTATTCCTATTTTTGAAATTTCAAAAGTTGAGTAATTAATATACCACGCATAAAATGAATGAACAATAAGTAACACATGACAAATTACCTGTTAAGTCTTACATTCGAGTTATATTGTCTATATTAATAAAACGCCTGAAATTCTTCTTTTCAACCAGTATGCTTTTTTGCCTCATTCTAGCATTTTTGGTATCTATCAAAAAATATGAGGATGCCAATTTTTTGAACCAAATGAATTACGAAGCAAACGATAAAATTAAATACTTACGGAGCTATTTTTTTATCAAACCAAATGAATTTAATAGACACAATTTGAATATTTTGAATACGAACATTTTGAATATTTTTTCTTGCTATAAGTAGAATTTAATTACTATAGGGAATTTCATAATAAAAAAACCACACAAAAAATGTGATAGTATGTCGTGCGTGCTCATATTAATATGGTTTTGTTGTAAATACATAATGAATAACGTTTTTTTTATCTCACTTTGTTGGAGGGCATGAGTTGAAGCATTACTTCCATAGGTATCACCTGGAGTAGAATATTGTATCCTTTACAACAATAGAAAATTGAAACAGTGTTAATTCAGTTATATGGTTTCACAAAAGTAGTAACAGTATACAGTTACTAATAAAAAAAATTAATTCTGATCATACCTTGTCATGGAGTCAGAATTAGATAACGTAGTAAGAGTTGAATGTATGGACACAACATCATTGACATCTATTCCTATTTTTGAAATTTCAAAAGTTGAGTAATTAATATACCACGCATAAAATGAATGAACAATAAGCATAAAATCTTAGATAAGATGACAAATTCCAACATAAAAATCAATTAAAACAGCTGATTTCTTTTTGTAATAATTTTTATATATTTTTTGTAAACTACAGCTACACAAAAAACCAAAAATCTTTTTTCTAAAAAGTTAAAAATTTTAATTTAAAAAAAAAGCAGAATTCAAAAATCAAATATTTTTTTAAAATCTATTTTTTTTTGTAAAAAATATTTCTAAAATTAAAAGGCATAATTTTTTTTTTTATAATTCAATTCAAATAAACCCTTATTTATTTTTATTTTCTCACAAAATTAGTTCAAAATAAGTTCAAAAATGGTTTAGAAGCTATTTATATTTCAGAAGCGGTTCATACTTCAGAACCAGATCAAAATTCAGTTGAGTATTTAGTTGATTCAATTTAATTTTTAAATTTATTTATAAAATCAGTTCAATTCTTAAAATTAGTTGAGAAAAATGTGTTTCATTCCATTCGAATCAATTTGATTTGGTTCGATTATTTTACACGTCTTAATAACAATGTAGAATGTGAGGTTTATGTTGTGGAGTCAATCACCCCCTAACAATGGGTGGGAAAACATAGAAGGAAACACAAGCTTTTAAAATAAAGTTTCATTATTTTATTTTAGATAAAAAAGGTTATCACTACAGTAAAATTAAAAGTATCTTCTATGTACCGAAAAAAAAATATATCTTCTACTATATTTTCTTTTTCGATAATAGATTTGCCTTCAGCTAATATTCTTTTCCCACCATCCATATTTAAATTCAAAATTTTAAACCATTTCAAATTTCGAATTTTAGATCAGACGACCAATTACAACATAAAAAGCAATTAAAACACCTGATTATCCAATTAAAATAATGAATGAACAATAAGCAGCACATGACAAATTACCTGTTAAGTCTTCCATTCGAGTTATATTGTCTACATTAATAAAACGCCTAGAATTCTTCTTTTCAGCCAGTATGCTTTTTCGCCTCATTCTAGCATTTTTGGTATCTATCAAAAAATATGAGGACGCCAATTTTTTGAACC